TGAGAAGTGTGCTTCATGCTATAAAAGCTCCTGTTTCTAGTGTTGAGGGTTGAATCTATGGAGATTCGCAGTCAATCCTCACATTGAGAGAGGTTATTTATTATTTATTTATTTATTTATTTGGTGCATTTGTTGACCGCCATTCTCAGCCCTTTTAGGGCGACTCATGGCGGTGTACAACATATAAAAGGCAATTTACAAAAGGCAATTACAAACAACATATCCACAATACAACAATTATATAATTACACTAAAAAATCCGCTCCGTCTCATAGTAGAATTGTAACCAATCTCATATTCCTTATTCCATTCCAGTCGTCTTTACCACATTATTATAGCACTTAATTAAATGCCTTCTCAAACAGCCATGTCTTTAGGCTTTTACGGAAGACATAAGGGAGGGCGCCTGTCTGATGTCTACAGGGAGAGTGTTCCACAGCCGGGGGGCCACCACTGAGAAGGCCCTCTCTCTCGTCCCCGCCAGACGTGCCTGTGAGGCAGGCGGGATCGAGAGAAGGGCCGCCCCAGACGATCTCAAGGTCCTCGTGGGCTCATAGGCCAAGATGCGGTCCGAAGGTATTTTGGGCCGGAACCGTTTAGGGCTTTGTAGGATAACACCAGCACCTTAAATTGGGCCCGGTAGCAGATCGGCAGCCAGTGGAGCTGGACAACAAGGGCGTTGTGTGCTCCCTGCGTCCCGCTCCCGTTAGTAACATGGCTGCCGCGTGCTGGACTAGCTGAAGCTTCCGGGCCGTCTTCAAGGGCAGCCCCACGTAGAGAGCGTTGCAGTAGTCAAGGCGGGATGTGACCAGAGCGTGTACCACCGTGGCCAAGTCAGACTTCCCAAGGTACGGGCGCAGCTGGCGCACGAGCCTAAGCTGTGCAAATGCTCCCCTGGTCACCGCTGAAACCTGGGGATCCAGGCTCAACGATGAATCCAGGTCACACCCAAGCTGCGAACCTGCGCCTTCAAGGGGAGTGCGACCCCATCCAGCACAGGCTGTAACCCTATACCCTGTTCGGCCTTGCGACTGACCAGGAGTACCTCTGTCTTGTCTGGATTTAATTTCAGTTCGTTCGCCCTCATCCAGACCATTACAGCGGCCAGGCACCGGTTCAGGACCTCGACAGCCTCCTTAGTAGCAGGTGGGAAGGAGTGACAGAGTTGGACATCATCTGCGTACAGATGACACCGCACCCCGAAACTCCGGATGATCTCACCCAGCGGCTTCATTTAGATATTAAACAGCATGGGGGACAGTATATAACCATGCCGGAGCGCCAAGACAAAGGCTGTGGGGCCGAGCAGGTGTCCCCCAACAACACCTTCTGAGAGCGGCCCTCCAGGAAGGTCTGGAGCCACTGCAAAACTGTACCTCCAAACCCCATTCCCATGAGGCATTCCAGAAGGATACTGTGGTCTGCATTATCAAAGGCCGCTGAGAGTCAAAGAGCAACAAGGACACACTCCCCCTGTCTAGCTCCCGGCGCAGATCATCCACTAAGGCGACCAAGACCGTCTCGGTACCATGTCCCGGTCTGAAACCAGACTGTGCCGGATCCAGATATCCGTGTCTCTCAAGAATACCTGGAGTTGTGAGGCCACCACGCTTTCCATGACTTTGCCCAAAAAGGGGAGATTGGAAACAGGCCGAAAGTTGTCAAATTTAGTGGGGTCCAGTGATGGTTTCTTCAACAGCGGTTTTATAATAGCTTGTTTTAAGCTCACTGGAATTTTGCCTTCCCGAAGGGAGGCATTCACCACCACTTACCCACTCGGCCAATCCCCCTCTGGCCTCCCTCAGAAGCCAGGATGGGCAGGGGTCTAGGATGGACGTGGTGGGCCTCATTCCTCCAAGTATCTTGTCCACATCCTCGGGTTTCACAAACTGAAAAGAATCCATCAAAATAGGACAAGCAGGTGCTCTTGTTACATCCTCTGAGACTGCATTTAACGCGGCGTCCAGCCCAGAACGGATCAAGGCGACTTTGTCTGCGAAGAACCGAGCAAATGCTTCACAGCGCGTGACCGAATTGTCAGGGCTCCCGCCTGAGGTGGCGGGAGTTAAAAGACCTCTGACAATCCGAAACAACTCCGCCGGACGGTTTTTTGCAGACGCAATAGTGGCCGCAAAGAAAGTTTTCTTTGCGGCTTTTATTGCCGCGGCATATGCCCTTAAAAAGGACACAAACCGTGCTCGATTTGACTCGCTCGGATCCGAACGCCACACGCTCTCTAGTTCCCTCTTCCTTCGCTTCATCACTGCCAGCTCCTCAGTAAACCAAGGAGCTGGTTTAGCTCGGCTACTTGAGAGGGGACGTTCCGGAGCGATCATGTCAATTGCCCTGGCCATCTCCCCATTCCAGAGAGCGCCCAAGGCCTCGACATGGTCACCTACCGAGGTGGCGGGAAAATCCCCAAGAGCCGTCAGGAATCCATTCGGATCCATAAGCCTCCTGGGGCGGACCATCTTAATGGGTCCTCCACCTTTGCGGAGGTTAGGGGGTGCAGTGAGCCTAAAACTGATCAGGAAGTGGTCAGTCCATGGCAACGGAGAGATAGACAACTCCTCCACACCGCCACCCTGCTCCCATCCCTGGCAGAAAACCAAGTCCAATGTGTGTCCAGCACAGTGGGTGGGGCCAGATATTTGTTGGGACAGCCCCATGGTTGCCATGGCAGACATGAAGTCCTGAGCCGCTCCTGTGAGGGTCACCTCGGCATGGATATTGAAGTCTCCCAGCACAAGAAGCTGTTGAGACTCCAACGCCAGGCTCGAGACCACCCCCGCTAGCTCAGGTAGGGAGACTGTAGTGCAGCGAGGTGGACGGTACACTAGCAGAATCCCTATTCTGTCCCGGTCACCCACCCTCAGGTAGACGGATTCAAAATTTGTGGTCTGCGGGATGGGGCACCTGGTCAGATGGATGGAATCTCTATAGACCACTGCGACTCCGCCTCCCCGCCCTTTACTTAATTGTGTTAAGGTTACTTAATTGTGCCGTGTTGTAAGGCCGCCCTGAGTCCCCTTTGGGGTGACAAGGGTGGGGTATAAATATGGTAAATAAATAAAGTACTTCAAGTGCATAGATGTTTAGGGCTTGAAATGTGAGAATTCGTATGTTAAAGCACAAGGTGCATCTGCACTGTAAAATTAGTACAGTTCAATACCACTTTAACTACCAAGGCTCAATACTATGGAATCCTGGAATTAGCAGTTTGATGAAGCATTGGCATTCTTAGGCAGACCTTATAAAAGTTATAACAGACCTTATAAAATTACAATTCCCAGAATTCAATTTAGCCATGGAAATTACAGTGATGTGGAATGTCATTAATACTACAGTGTAGACCAGGCATGGGCAAACATGGAAGTTTGTCCTTGCCTGGTATAGATGCACCCAAAGAAGAAAGCAGGGCAACAGTTATATGCTCTGTTTGGCTTTAAACAATAGATGGACAGCAGTTTGAAGAAACGAAATTTTCTGGACACGTTTCAGGACAGCCTCATGATAAGTACTTTACAGTTTTGTTGTTTTCACACTGCTAGAGTATGAATTATTATTTTCAAGGCCTACCTTATGAAAAGAGGGTATATTAAAAACTGGTATAGGTTGAGCATGTCTTATCCAGAATTCCAAAATTCAAAATATTCCAAAATTGCTCATATGGGTGGCTGAGATAGTGACACTTTTGCTTTTTGGTGGTTCACTACACTCAATAAACTCATATAAAAGTCTAGAAATTTTAGGCAAAGAATTAACCCCCCCCCCCCAAAAAAAACCAGAGTCAATCTATACACCTTAACTCTTATCAAGAAAGGATCAATTCCCTTTTCTGAGTGGAGTGGCAACAGGCAGAAAGGGAACCCAGCATGGCGTAGTAGTTTAAGTGTTGAACTAAGACCCCAGCTTATAGAAATCCATAGGGAGACCTTGGGTAAGTCACACTCCCTCAGCCTCAGAGAATGGAAAAATCCCTCTGAATATATCTGGCCGAGAAACCCCTAGGATAGATTGGGAATAGATGTGACAGCACAGAATTTTAAAAAGCAGTAATGTTTGCTTTTCTTCATATCGCTAGATGGCACCACAGCTCTCTAAATGGTTGTGTCAAGGAAGATTGGCCAAATGACATGAGTCAAGTCTGAAATTGCTTGAATAACAAAAACACTTTGGGCCAGAGAAGATGATTTGTTACCAGTCAGTAAAAACTCCATTCTTTATTTCCCCCATATTTTTCCAAGTATTGCACCTGTAGAATTTTTGCCACATTAATTTATTGGAAAATATTTCTATACCCCATTGTGAGGGCTGTGAGCTTACCTTGTGGAGTGGAAAGTTAAAATAAAATATACATTTGTCTTATGGCAACCCCAATTGGGGTTTTTCTTAGCAGAACTTGTTCAGAGGGGTTTTTTGGAGTATTTTACATTTCAGAATTCCAGATAAGGGATGTACTGCAAAACCTATATTAACAAATTATGTCTCTTTAATCATTTAATTATTTAATGTGAGTCTCCTGGTGGCACAGCGGGTTAAACTGCTGAGCTGCTGAACTTGATGACCAAAAGGTTGATGGTTCAAATCCAGAGAGCGGGGTGACCTCCCGCAGTTGGGCCAAGCTTCTGCCAACCTAAAAGTTGGAAAACATGCAAATGTGAGTAGATCAATAGGTACCGCTTATGTGGGAAGGTAACGATCCTCCATGCAGTCATGCTGGCCACATGGCCTTGGAGGTATCTAAGGACAACACCGGCTCGTCAGCTTAGAAATGAAGAAGAGCACCACCCTCCAGAGTCAAACATGATTAGATTTAATCTCAGGGGAAACCTTTACTTTACCTTAATTATTTAATATGAATACTACAGTGCTAACACTAAGTTTCCCAAGCCCTGGTGTTCATATTACATCATGTCTCCCCCCCCCCCCCACCCCCAAATAAACTCTTAAATACATCAGAGGCACTCACATTGATCCATTCAGAAAAAATCCACAAGTCACAGTAAGGCAACATTTATTAGTGTAAAGCAAAATGATCTCTGGCACTCAAACTGGATTCCTTTGGTTCAAAGTTAAGATCTGCTTGTGAAACTTCTCTGCATGACAGATATATTTGTAAGTACCAACCCAGGTAGCAAATGGCATGTACAAAGAAGGGACATACAATTAAGTCAGAATGTCTCATTTCAAGCATCTGATCCTAGTCACATGTTTCATCTTTGGAGCAAACTCAATGATGGCATCAAGAACCCAAACAATAGGGAACCATGACCAGCTCCAGCTCCCCAGAAACAGACCCATGTTTAAACAAGGGGGCTGGTAAACGTGTGTTTAGTTGCATGAATATGTCACATTTTAGGTACATATGTAATACATTCATTTCTATATGAATGTATACAGTCTTTTCAATCAGACAAACAAGTAAACACATTCCTGTCCAAAAGGAGCTGACAACCTAATTTTTTATAGTAGAGGTAAATGAAGAGAAAGAAGAAAATGTCAAGAGTAAAGCTAATAATGTATTCAATCTACAAACAAGAGTGAGTGAAGCAAACCTCATTTTTTAACATATCTTCACTTTTTAAAATAAAGATCACACACAAGTAGATTCTGAGCACAATGCACATCCAGAAAAATTCATTTTCCCTTTGATACCATTCTTTACATACAATGATAGATTTAATCAAAGTCAATTTCAAGCTTCATCAAAGGCATCACCATATATCCGTAACCTAACAATATCAACGCAATGTGATGCTGACGTTGCATTCTTACACCTATGTACCTGGAAGCAAGGCCTTTTGGATTATTTTTAGTAGACATATGAAAGATTGCATGTTGAGTCCTAATAAGAGTTGAGCTGTGTGGCAGTCTGACAAACATGGGCCCCTTCCTGTTGCCTATCACTCTATGCAGAAATGGCAATGCTTTTGGGTCTGTACATTCATTTCCTTCTGTAGTACCATTCAAAAGTCCTGCATCATCCAGTGACTTCAATGTTACCCATTCTTTTCTCATTCTCTCTTCTTTCCCTTTTCTGGATTGTCTTTCCAGATGCGGTAGGTAAGCGAAGAGGCCAAGGTTAGCCAAGCCAAGTAAGGCACCATCAATAGTGTGGCGGTTTTGTTAATTGGATACCAGGAGTACATTGTGGCCAGCACAAGACCGTACAAACCCACAATGTCAATCAGAGCCTGGAGGAGAAAAAGACAAAGACACAGAGAGATAAAAGTCCACATGATTCATTTGGCATAATGCAAACATCATTTGTTTAGCTAGACTATAAGAGAACTATGATCCCTTGACTCAAGGTAGAATAAGATAGTTGTAGCCTATACTCCCAGCAAATTTTAGAAGACATTTGGCAATTTTAGAAGACATTTGGCAATTTTAGAAGACATTTGCCAGATGCTTTGTTTTTGCTCCAAATTGTAGCAGTCCAAAGAACAGGAGGTATTATCTCTGCAGCAGCAAAAGTTTCCCATTGAAGGGGGAAGTTTTTTTTAATCCAAGAGAATTCCCATTTTCAGATTTATTCTCTTCACTCTAGTCAAACTGTACTACAATCTGAGTCTGCCCCTAATATTAAGAACAAGTTTTGGATCAAATCAGTGGCAAGAAAAAAATGAATATTTTGGAAATATTTCAGCATAAAGTCAACCTGCCAGCCTAGAAAACTTTGTTCTAGGCTGAAAGGTTTCAGCTGGTTAACCGCCAGCTGCAGTAAATCTGCAGTTCAAAGCCCGGGTTGAGGTGGGCTCCTGGCCTTTAGCCCAGCTTCTGCCTACCTAGCAGTTCGAAAGAAAATATGAGTAGATAAATAGGTACCGCTTTAAACTGGGGAGGTATTTGAGGCACCCATAAGGAAATGCTAGAAAAATCTGGGCAATTCGATCAAGGAGGAAGTTTACGAACAAAGCTCTTCAGCATGGAAGATGGAGCAACAGCACCCGCCAGTGGCCGGAACCAAGCACAAGCCTCCAAGATGCCAAAGATGTGAAAACCTATATATACCTCTATCTATATATAGCTGTCTTTGTCAGTGTATAATGGCATCGAACGTTTGCCGTATATGTGTTCTGTGATCTGCCCTGAGTCCTCTTCAGGGTGAGAAGGGTGGGATATAAATACTGTAAATGAATATAGATATCCATATATAGATAGATAGATATAGAGATAAAGAGATATATAAAATAAAATATCCATTTCAAGTCATTTGACTGATGGCTCTAGGCCAAGCCATTTGACTTATTGCGGTTGCTGTAAGTTAAATTACTTGAAATGTATATTTTATTTTAACTATAGAGATGTATAAAATAAAATATACATTTCAAGTCATTTGACTTTTTCCAATAAGGGACTGGAGGCAACGCACAATGTGAATTAAAATAACATACAATAGACAAAGCAAACATGAAAAAACAACGTAGCAATTATATTAAAATACTAATTTAAAACTCTAAAGAAATGCAGGAAAGATACATAAGTTAATGCCTTAGACCGGAATTTTGTTAATCCTGATATAGTAGATCCACTGAATAAATGGAATTGATATAAGTGGCAACTTACCAAATTACTATTAGAACAGTGGAACTATTCTAGCTGGGGCTAACAATGTAATTTAGAGCATTATATTTTAAGAAACAGTGAAATGCTGCTTTTTGAGATCAATACATAGCTAACTCAATTAGCATCATATACTTGAAGTCTTGAATTAAAATATATTGTGTGCAATGTGCATTTCCTTTTCTAATACACCTCATAGATTTTAAAATCCAACAAGGACTCTGCATATGCAAATAGTAATACATTTAGAGATTCAGGCCTTCATTTGTGTGTTTTGCTGTTTAATGGGATGCACAGAAATAGCAAGCTGATGCTGACAATCCAGTATCTGCTCCCTCAGGTCAAGGGAGGTGCCTGAAATGTTTATCTCAAACGCACAATCCTTAACAAGGAAAAATGGAGCATGCAGATCATGAGATTGCAAACTTCACAGCCTTCACTGTACAGCCACAGCTGCCTTAAATTCAGAGTAAACACAACTGCAAGCGAGAGATATTATTGGCAGGAAAGCAGAAGCAATATTTGACAAACAGGCAACGCAAGCCTTTTGCTTTGGCTTGTCAAATATCTTCTTGCTTTAGTTATACAAGTCTGTAATAAAGAACCTCAATTCCAACATTCTGGAACCAGAAAAACTCATGAATTATCACCACTAGCAAATATCAATGAATGTGTTTAGTCTGCAGGCTTTGTTCTGAGGCAGTATAGTTTGCCTTCTCTTTTTCCTCCTTTGGGAATGTGGACATGAAATCAAGAATTGGGAGCTTCTGAGAATTGTCAGGAACTGAAAAATTTTGGACTGCCAGTTCTTCATGATAGAAATCTTCTTGCTATTTTTTCCAGAAACTCAGAAAATACCCAAACACTTAAATTAACAATCTAGAATGCTAAATCTCAATATCCAGATTCGTAAACATTTTCCCAAGAGGTTCCAAATAATGACAGTGTAGAAAGGTTATTTTTTCTGAACTACAATCCTTAGTGTCTTCCAATCATCATGGCCAATGGCCATTCTGCCTGGGGGATTCTGGGAGTTGAAGTCCAAAAATAATTTGACCAAAGTCTGCAGCTAAGTATATAAACTAAAGATAGTATGGTAGTCCTACAAATTGAAAGGGAACTTTACCAGCTTGAGTTTATGAGCACCAAAGAATATAGGAGTCCATGCCCAGTTCAGAGCAAGCTGAGCTCCGTAGAGACCTAGGGGGACTACAGCATTACTGTTGAAGCCACCAAGGTCCTTCCACACCAAGTAGGAAGCATACCTGGAGGAAAAGAAATCGGTTTAGTCATTTGCATTTGGACATCCCATTTGAACAGACATTTGAAAAGGAGCTTTTTCCAGTTAATTACAGTTTAGAAGTTGACTTGGTGACCTTTGTCACCTTGTTGCAAGCCATCTCAAACGACAAATATTCTGACACCAAGCCTATTCTGTGGCAATAACTTTATGAGGTCAAACCAAGGAAGTAGAAAACGCCTGTGTCTGCTTTTGAACCCATATATTATTTAATCAGGCAAAGATAATTTAGGAAAGTAGGCAGGAGCAGTGGGGAGCTAAGGATCTTAAGGCCTCATTACTTACATATTGTCTTGTAATGCTACATAAAGAGGGTTAACAGACTAACAAATGAAGTCCATCAGACCACATGTCAGTGGCCCTGGATTCACTGGACTAGATGAAGAAAGGCCACGAAATTTCATAATCTATTTGTATATACAACACACACTCCCTTGAAAATTCAGACCTGTCTCTACGTAGAACAGTGTTTCTCAACCTTCCTAATGCTGTGACCCCTTCATGCAGTTCCTCATGTTGTGGTGATCCCCAACACATATTTTTGTTGCTACTTCATAACTGTAATTTTGCTACTGTTATGAATTGTAATGTAAATATCTGGTATGCAGGATGTATTTTCATTCACTGGACCAAATTTGGCACAAATACCCAATATGCCCAAATTTGAATACTAGTGGGCTTGTGGGGGATTGATTTTGTCATTTGGGAGTTGTAGTTGCTGAGATTTATAGTTCGCCTAGAATCGAAAAGCATTCTGAACTCCACCAACGATGGAATTGAACCAATCTCAACACACAGCACTCCCATGACCAAGAGAAAATACTGGAAGGGTTTGGTGGGCATTGACCTTGAGTTTTGGAGTTGTAGCTCACCTACATCCAGAGGCTGTTTTTGAATTCTGACAGTTGCAGTTCACCAACACCAAAAAGTAAGAGAAGGACAGGCAGAGAGATCGTCGGCCTTCTCTGACAAAAGCATTCCTAAGACCACCAGAAATATGTGTTTTCTGATTATCTTTGATGACCCCTCTGAAACCCCCTCACAACCACCCCCCAGGGGTCCTGACCCCCAGGTTGAGAAACTCTAATGTAGAAATATTTGCACCAGTTCTTCAATACAGGTTACTTGAAAATCTTATGAATAGTGTTATTCTTTATCCTTACCCTAGTGCCATGGTTCCCAACCTGTTGTCCATGGATCACCAGTGATCCCTGGACTCCCCATTACTACACCATTGCCTCAAAAACATGTGGCAATGAGAGCGACTGGTCTCGCGAAATCCTCTTATACTGCTGAGGCAACAGGGATGTTGGGAGGGGAGATGCTGACTGCCACAAAAGATTACTACTGCTGCCACATCAGCTCTAGATTTTTAAACATCATTTTCTGTGGGCAAACAGATGGCAACTACTGGATGGCATATGTTCTTTATCAGAAACGAGATCTGATGTGGTCTATCCAAGGCAATTTTCTGAATCAGCGCCCCAAATAACCAAACCGAATCTAAAGTGCACCAAAAACTGATTCGTAACCCTTCTGGTACTAATGTTGGTGAGTGGTCTTTGGTCAAAGTGGTCTCTGGTCAAGAAAAGGTTGGGAGCCCTGCCCTAATGTACAGCTGGATTTCTACATTTGTGGGTTTGACTTTTGCAAATTTGTACACTGTAACACAATTTGGAAAAAAAACCTGTTCTGGTTTGAAACTGTTGTTTCCTCTTTAATCATGCACTACTAACTTTGAAAGTAGTTGTTATACTCCAGAAATTTTGTGTTTGTGGCTGCCACAAACTATGTTGAATTGGTTGAGACTCTATGGGAGGGTAACTGAAAAACTACAGCAAAAGGTGCCACAGGATGTTTTTGCAGTTTAATAAACTTTCCCCATATTTTTATGATAGAACAGTGATTCTCAACCTGTGGGTCCCCAGATGTTTTGGCCTTCAACTCCCAAAAATCCTAACAGCTGGTAAACTGGCTGGGATTTCGGGGAGTTGTAGGCCAAAATACCTGGGGACCCACAGGTTGGGAACCACTGTGATAGAACCACTCAGTAAATGATATTTTGACTCAGGAACAAAATTATGTTACATGGTGTCATTTTTAGATTTAATTAAAATCATGGTCTTCCAGTGTGACTTTGTGGTTAATTTTTGCCAGAAGCTGACCATGCAATCATATTGAAGGACCTAGTGATTCCTTGAGAGAACACCTCTCCAAGAATATCCATGTCCTCCAGTATGTTCTATTGTCAACCTTCACTGACATTCCTAGAAAAGTATTCTCTATGGTTAAAAAAGCAATGTTTCTATTCATTGTTTTCATGGTCCTGTGACTAACATCAGTGAATGTGGAGAGCCAGTTGTATAGAGATTCCCTCTTCTTGCACTTCAAATTAGAAAGGAATTAGAAGTAATTTCAGCAACAGTAATTAAACCTCACAACTTCTGAAGATGCCCGCCATAGATGTGGTTGAAACGTCAGGAGATAATGCTTCTGGAACATGGACATACAACCCAGAAAACCTACAGCAACCCAGTAATTATATAATGTGCACAAATGTAATTAAGTAGTTACTGCAAAGTTACAAAGGAAACAATTGATGGGATTTTACTGACTCTTAATCTGATTCTATGCTTGTTTCCTATGTATATTTGCTCCCACTGGGCTGGCTTCCAAGAAACATATTAAGGATTGTAACCTGAGATGATGAGGAAGGACATACCAGGAAAGCCTTACCCCATGCTGGAATATAGTGTTGTCCAAGCCACTGGGAAAAATTTATTGGGTGGACGCCATGATGGTTTGTTCAGACTTTCAAACCATGTGGGCACTTCTTTCCGGGTTAAGAACCAGCCAAAAAATCCACCGAGATGGGGAAAAGCTGTGAAGCCAACAGCGTGAATCAACATCCTCAATCCAGTCCCCAGACAACTGAAGGAATTTCTTGTTGAACTTCAGCACCTTTGAAATGGAAAACCAATAATCAAACACTGTTATTTCCCATTGCCATGCACTTATGATCACTGAATATGTTTTGAGTTTCATTTGATAGGCTACAGCAAGTAGGAATGTCCAAAGCAACTACATAATTATTTTCCGATCTTCTAGTGGCTGTCATATGTCTAGTGTAAAGGATCATCTAGATAGGGTTTTCTTAGAAGTTAGCCCACTGACTCCAAGTATAGGTAAAGGTTTTCCTCTGACATTAAGTCCTGTCATGTCCAACTCTGGGGGTTGGTGCTCATCTCCACTTCTAAGCCAAAAAGCCGGCATTGTCCATAGACACCTCCTAGGTCATGTGGTCAGCATGACTGCAAGTATACTCCAAGTATACTTAGGTTTAAAACCTTCCATTTCATAGTATTTATTACTGTCATAAACCAGTGAAAAATATAACCAAAGGTTTTCTCAGGTTCTGTTGACCTGCAAAAGACTTGCAGGTCAACAGGTGTCTTCTCAAGCAGACAATATTGTGGTTGTCAATGTTTATAAAATATGAAAGTTAAAGGTTTTTTTCATAGCCTTTGTAGAAATTTTTTAGATGTGGGACACAACACACATACATGGGTGAGAAGGGGGGGGGGAATTATACCAAGAATATGTGGTATTTCCCTTGTAGGGAGATGTTGTTTTCCATGTCATCTGTACGCAGATAACACCCAACTATATTATTCATTTCCACCGAAAGCCAAGGAAGCCGCTCAGACCCTGAATTGGTGTCTGGCAGCTGTAATGGACTGGATGAGAAAGAACAAATTGAAATTCAATCCAGACAAGACAGAGGTCCTCCTAGTCAGTCGTAAGGCAGATCAGGGTATAGGGTGGCAACTTGTGTTAGATGGGGTTACACTCCCCCTGAAGACTCAGGTCCATAGTTCTTCTGGACTCATCGCTAAGCCTCTGGAATTCCAATATATTTTGCTCTTTTTGCTGAGGGATATGGCATGACCACACAATACTTGTAAACGGAGAAGATGGCTATCCGATTTATATTTGCCGATTGCAGTCCCCCACGCATTGGCAGCTCAGCTCAGACAATGGGCTACACCAGTTTAGCAATTTGGCAGAGAAAGCAAAAGACCTTGTAAAATTACAACTCCCATGATTCTATAGCATTGAGCCATGAAAGGTAAAGTGCTGTCATAATGGGTTGTTGTAGGTTTTTTTGGGCTATATGGCCATGTTCTAGAGAAAACCTACAACAACCCAGTGATTCCGGCCATTAAAAGCCTTCAACAATATACTGTCCTAATGCATTGATTCCAAATTGTAGAGGCAACCTAGGGGTGTATCTACACTACTGGTGTGAGACTACAGAATGAATGTAGTTTGACATCAGTTTAGCTGTCATGACTCAATGCTACGCAATCCTGAGAGCTGTAGTTTGGTGTGGCACAAGCCTTCTTTGGCAGAGAGGGGGGCTTCTGGAACATGGCCATACAGTCCAAAAAACTTATAGCAACCTGGAAGCCAAAGACATTGTAAAACTACAACTCCCTGGATTCCACATTATTCAGCCATGGCAGTTTAAGGGGCGTCAAAATGCAATTAGTCTACAATGCAGGCACATCCTTGCTTTTCACATTTCCAGAAAGGCCAAGACCTGTCAAGCTTAGTTGGGGTTCTACCTGGAAGGAAGGGAATGAGCACTCCCTTTTGCTCTGTTGTGGTGGTTGCATGTCTATACACTACAGAATGGATGCATTTTGACTATGCCACGACTCAATGTCATGGAATCCCGAGAGTTGCAGTTTGTTGAGGCATCACCACTTTTTCGGCTGGGGAAGCTACAGACCTTGCAAAACTACAACTCCCACATTTCCAAAGCATTGAGTCATGACATTTAAAGCAGAGTCAACTTGCAATAAATCCAACAGCCCAGGCGAATTACAACTGTTATGGTTTTATAGCATTCTGCCAGTTAAAAGCGTAGGTGCATGGGAGTTATAGTTTGACAGGGTCTTTAGGGACCAATGATTTTGTGATGCATCCAAACTGCAACTCCTTGGATTCCATACCATTGAGACCTGGCAATTAAAGTGGAGTCAAGGTGCATTGATTCTATGGTGTGGACAGCTTATGTAAGCATGGGCAAACTTCGTCCCTCCTGGTGTTTGGGACTTCAACTCCCACCGTTCCTCACAGCCTCAGGCCCCTTCCTTTTCCCCCTCAGCCGCTTAAGAAAAGGAAAGGGCCTGAGGCTGTGGGGAATGGTGGGAGTTGAAGTCCCAAACACCAGGAGGGACGAAGTTTGCCCATGCCTGCAACTAACAGAGTCTTCTGCTGGGAAGCCCTACCAGTCTGGCAAAGTCCTACAGCTGGGGGTTGCCCTTACCTTCTCCGCCTTGAGTTCACACTGGAGAGCCTCTGGCTGTGGGAAGGGCGCTTTCTGGCGGGTCCGGTGTGTCGGGTTACACAACACAACACAATGCGGCTCCCAGGCAGGAAGGCAAGCTCCGATAGTAGCCAGCGGAGGGCGAGGACTCGCCAAGAGCCAGGCAGGCTTGTATAACGCAGGGCGGAGCAGAGAGAGAGGCGCTCCCCTTCCGCCTCCGCCCCAGGCCGGACTTAGGGCGCATCTACACTGCACAAGAAACGCGGTGTCACACCACTTTTAACTGCTATGGAATCCCGGATGTTGTAGCTTTACAAGGTCTTGAGCCTTCTCTGTCAAAGAGGGCTGCTAGTGCCTCACCAAACTGCAACCCCTCCCATAGCACTAAGTCATGGCAGTTAAAGTGATGCCAAACTGTATTCATCCTACAGTGTAGATCATAGAATCATAGAGTTGGAAGAGACCTCATGAGCCATCCAGTCCAACCCCCTGCCAAGAAGCAGGAAAATCGCATTCAAAGCACCCCCGACAGATGGCCATCAGTCTCTGTTTAAAAGCTTCCAAAGAAGGAGCCTCCACCACACTCTGGGGCAGAGGTTTCCAAACTTGTCCCTCCAGGTGTTTTGGACTCCAACTCCAATCATTTCCAACAGCTTACCAGCTGTTAGGAATGGTGGGAGTTGAAGTCCAAAACACCCGGAGGGCCCAAGTTTGCCCATGCCTGGTGTAGATGCACAACTAGGTCGCAGCTACATTCTGGAATTAACACACTTTGGCCCCACTTTCAATGCCATGGCTCAATGCTATAGCATCTGAGGAGCTGTAGTTTTACAAGGTCTTTAATTCAAAGTGCTGGCTTTAGCCTTTAAAGCCCTAATGGGGCTTTAATTATATTTTATGTTGTTTATAATGATATTTTATGTTGTTGGGGGCATTGAATTGTGCCGATTGTAAACCACCTTGAGTTGCTTTCGGGCTGAGAAAGAGGGTATATAAATATGGTAAATAAATAAATAAATTTAGCTTCCTCTGTCTCACCAAACTGCAACCCACAAGCTTCCATGGCATTGATGCACTGCAGTTAAAGTGCTGTCAACTTAATGAATTTTGAAGTGTAGATATTGACTTCAATATATGCCTAGAGTTGCTCTGGATGGTTTTAGTATAGGTTAGGAAAGGTAAAGGTTTTCCCTTGACATTCATATCTGACTCTGGGGGGTGGTGCTCATCTCCATTTCTAAGCCAAAGAGCCGGCATTGTCCGTAGACGCCTCTAAGGTCAAGTGGCCAGCATGACTTCATAGAGCGCCAATGCCTTCCCACCTATTGATCTATTAATACTTGCATGTTTTAGAACTGCTCAGTTGGCAGAAGTTGGGGTTAACAGCAGGAGCTCACTCCACTCCCCGGATTCGAACAGCTGACCTTGTGGTCAGCAAGTTCAGCAGCTCAATGGTTTAACCTGCTGCACCACTGGGGACTTTGGTACAGGTTAAATATCCTATAACAACAACAACAACAACAACAACAACAACAACAACAACACGCCAAACTCCTCTAGGACTTCCTGATTCAGACAGCCAAACACATAAAACATAAACATCCTATACACATGTATTTCTATAAAATATACATATTAAAACATATTTCTATAAAATACATATTAAACTACATGGAACAGAGATTAAAGCACAGGACACTAGTTTAAAATGCACGATTAAAACTCCAAAATTGTCCACAAAGTTGCCTGAGGGTGTGACACCGTTGCTGTCCAATCGTTCTTTCCTATGCACATTTTGTTTCATACAGGAAATTATTTAATGCACTGCATACATCTACCTTCAGCCTGTGTGAGAGCTGTTCAGCAGTGGAACTCTCTGCCCCAGAGTGTGGTGGAGGCTCCTTCTTTGGAGGCTTTTAAGCAGAGGCTAGATGGCCATCAGTCAGGGGTGCTTTGAATGTGATTTTCCTTCTTCTTGGCAGGGGGTTGGACTAGATGGCCCACGAGATCTCTTCCAACTCTATGATTCTACATTTGAAACGGGTCCTTGGTCTAACAACCCTGGCTGCTGAGCTGCATCTGGGTTGTTGTCTTTGTAGTTTAATTACTGATGCTTTTTGCAATGCAGCTTTCACTCACCATATGCCCTTGGGAGCACCTCTCTGCCAAAACTAGTAGAGTTTGAATAAATAGTAACAATAATACAGATACATGTTAAACACAAATAAAATCCAGATATCCATTTCCATTAGGGGTTTGCTTGCAATGCATAGAGCATTAAAAACACATTCTCTTTGGCTATCGATAGTTATCTGATTTTTTATTACCCAAAAGAGAGCTGATGTGTCCAGATGGAATTTAAGACTATTGCTGTTGCACAGAATTAGTGCCATGTTTTATTGCACTCAAACCGCACTGAAGACAATTATTTGGTGGAAAGCACGGTTTTTAAAGAAATAGCTATCCAGCTGGCGTGATTCCTTAGACTTCTGTTAACTTGCTGAATGCAGCTGTCTCTTCAAAGTGGAAGATGAAATGTAAATATTGATCTAATAACAGCATCCTAGATACCACAACAGTGCCCATCCTAGCAGCCAAGATCTTGAGCAAACCACCCGTATTACTAAATTATTGAATCATAGAATTGAAAGAGACCACAGGACCATCCAATCCAACCAACCAACCCTCACCATACAGGAATACACAATCAAAGTACTCCCGACAGATGACATCTGTTCAAAAACCTTGGGTAAAGGAGATTCCATCACACTTTGAAGTAGCACATTCCACTGGCAAACTATTTTTACTGTCAGGAAGTCCTTAATGTTTTCTCTTTTGCTGTACTTTGAATAATAGAATCATAGAATTGGAAGAGACCTCATGGGCCATCCAATCCAACCCCCTGCCAAGAAGCAGGAAAATTGCATTCAAAGCACCCCCGACAGATGGCCATCCAGCCTCTGTTTAAAAACTTTCCAAAGAAGGAGCCTCCACCACACGCTGGGGCAGAGAGTTCCATTGTTGAATGGCTCTCAAAGTCAGGGAGTTCTTCCTAATGTTCAGATGGAATCTCCTTTCTTGTAGTTTGAAGCCATTGTTCTGCGTCCTAATCTCCAGAAAACAAGCTTGCTCCCTCCTCCCTTTGAGTTCCTCTCACGTGTTTATACAAGGCTATCATGTTTCCTCTCAGCCTTCTCTTCTTCAGGCTAAACATGCCCAGCTCTTTAAACCGCTCCTCATAGGGCTTGCTCTCCAGACCCTTGATCATTTTAGTCACACTCCTCTGGACACATTCCAGCTTCTCACTATATCTCTTCAATCTCTGTTTCTTCATGGCTTAATATCTGGAGCAGTAGAAACCAAAGTAATTCCTCCTTCGATATGTCATCCTTTCAAATGTTTAAACATGGCTATCATGGCATCTCTTAACCCTTTTCTTTTCCTAGCTAAACATAACAAAATTTTGAGGCCTGTGAAGTCTCTGAGGATGAGGAGGGGGACTTTTGGTGGAGTCTGAGGTTTTTACTTCTGTGCCTGCTACATCTGTGGGAGAAAACAAAAGTTTTGCCTCCTGATGATGGGAATGTTTCTGTTAGATCTGTCCTTAGGGAAACTGAAACTGACTCTCAGGGATTGACTCTGAAAGGAATGTGGAGGAGACAGGACCTCTAGCTATATTATTATTATTATTATTATTATTATTATTATTATTATTATTATTATTATTTCAAGCATTTATACCCTGTCCTTCTCACACACACCCCCGGGGGGGGGGGCACTCAGGACGGCTTACAGAAGGCAACCATTCGATGCTGAGCATAGTACTAACAATTAACACTAACTGACAATTAAACAATTTAAACTATTATAAATTCACCCAAAATTAGAAAAATATTAAAATTGCCAGTTTAAAATCATGATCCAGGATCAGTCCAGTCCAAATAACTCAAATACTAATCTATAACTCAACAATTACAGTTATGACGAGATAGTGCAAAGCAGAGACAATTTAGTTGTTCCCAGAGGCAAAACAACTAAGCAAAGGGAACCCAGGTATGAGAAAGAGTGATGTCATGAGTAAGAATTAGAATTCTTAAGCATTTGAGATAATGTTTGTTGTGAGTCCAACGCTGATTTTCATGGGTCAAGTCGCCTGACTTGGGAGCTCCAAGTAAGGAGTGCTTGTCTTTGGTTCTGTAGCTTGCTTTCATGTTTAAGTTCAACGTATCTTGATTGGATTACAATTCTTGGTTCAAGTTTTCAAGCCTTTGTATTATAGTTATGTACGAATTTTCAAGCCTTTGGATATAATTTCGGTATAAGTCTTGAAACACCTTGAATATAGTTTTTTGTTTTTACCCTTTGGGATTTTGGATTCATAGTTGGTCACTGCTATTTGTTACATTCAAGAATATCAAGCTTATTGATATACTGTAACTTTGAAAATGCTTTTACAGTCTGGTTTTTGATTGTACCTTAGTGACTGCTTAACCTGCTGATTTTGGAATGACTTTTGGATTATTGACTACTCATTTTTGGAACTGCTTTTCTATTATATAGGCTTTTATTAATAAATGTATTACTTATTGTTGAACTGTGTGGTGTTTCGGTGAAATGGAGTCACACAGGCAATCTGGTTGCAACACCAACTCCCTAAGCCACCACTCATAGTCACCTTCCTCTTGACAGGTTCCAGCTGCTCAATCTCCTTTTTTTAGAAATTTATACAACAAAAAAGAAAAGGGAAAACAAAAAAGAGAAAAAAATGACAAAAAAGGGAGAGGACGAGTTTATTTTTAGTAGATCAAACTGTGACAAATATTCAATATATTGCAAAGGAAGAGGGAAGAGGTTAAAGAAAAAAAGCAAAGACAATTATCCATGCACAAAGTTTTCTTAATGTCCTTATTACATCTATTTTCTCATATTAATTACAAGGATTAAATAAAATACCAACATTTCCATGTATCTCCTATAGTAATGGGGGAGTGCTGTCACTGAACAATGTATCCATTACTGTATCTTCTTCCAGTATTATCTCATGATCTTCTAGCTAGTCTCTTCTTCCAGTTCCTCTTCACTAAGAGTTTATTTACATTATTAGTATTATTATTATTATTATTATTATTATTAAACACAGCTATATATTTGTTTAAATAGAATTCAATAACTATCTATTAAATGTATTTCTAATATTATATTTTATATGTATTAAATTATTTATTTTAAATCCTTTATCTAATTTCAATAATTACATAGTAAATCTAAAAAAATAATCTGTTATTAAA